GGTGGGGAGCCACCGGCTCCTCCTGCCTCTGTGTGACCCACCCCTCGCGTGCAGCGCGGCGCGGGGAAAAGGAGGAAATAATGGGGCTGTCGCCTTGCTTCGATCCGTTCGCTGTCCCTCGTCACCCTGCCCGCTTTTGGCGAGCTGTCGCTGAGGGCGTTGTTTCTGTTGAGCAGAGGGGCTGGGCGCAGCGATGCTCCCGCGTCCAGCGGCAGCCCGGGCAGCCCAAGGGGGCTGTTGGTTCTGCCGAATCCTGACTTCACCGAGCGTTTGACTGTTGAGCTACACAAGACCTGTAAGCGTCTTGTTTTGGTACATAACCCTCCAGTTTGCTGTCAGTGAACACTACAAGGTGCGAGATGAATATTTCACAGTGTCTGTGTTTCGCTTTCGTTTGTTAACTGCTAGGTCTGCGCTTCTTTTCACAGTTCAGCTTTCAACTGAATTACAAAGAAGTTTGCTGTCTCCAGTCTTTTTTTTTCCCCCCCCTTTGTTTTCCGTATTCTCTTTGTTTTAAAGGGAAATAACCAATAAGATTTCTTTTGTTTCTGTTACAGAATTTTCTCTTTCCTGGATGTGGTCACTCTGTGTCGTTGCGCTCAAGTTTCCAGGGTAAGAACCTTCCTCCTTGCTGGTGGATTTTTAGCGGTTGATTGGATTTGGGTGACAATCCTCTCGCTCCGGCCTTCCCTAGCGTGTCAGACCAGGAGGATTTGTACCTGGGAGCTTTGTCCAACTCCACTGCTGTTATTAGTGCCGGTGTTTACACCGCAATACCAGAAACTTCTGATGGCACCGGTGAGGGGACACTCAAAGCTCAAACACCATTTTGCCGGTGTCCCAGGCCCTGAGCAGGTTAGGGGGGAGGTGGCTGCCGCTGCCCAAGAGCTCTCCCGTCAGCCTGGGTTTGTACGGGAGGCCTGCGCTGACAAAAATACCAAACTTGGACAAGTCTGAAATGGCCCCTTGTGGGTTTTGGTGGAGAGCGAGCAGTTTTGATTCACAAAGATGCTGCGCAGTCAATGAAAGTTTACTTTCCTGCTTGGATGTAGTCAAAGTAAGCGTGGAAGGAAAAAATGAGTCTTGTTTTGTTTGGGGTTGGTTTTTTTCCCTAAGCAGCTCATAGCTTTGTGGGCTTCCGCTAATGAAATCCAGCTTGGATTATTCGCTTGGGAAAATGCCTCCAACTGCAGGTCCAGTTATCTAGAGCTGCCAGATTTGTTCAGATACTTTATCCTGCCCTATCTAAGAAGACAGGCGGAGGAAACATTACTGCAGCAGGAGTGGGAAGTCGGTTCCAGGGGAAGGTGTCTGTACCAGTGCGTTTACTGTACTGGCAGAGCTGGTGCTGAGTGATACCTGTACAAAACTGATCAGTCTTGGGTTCAAACTTGAACCGTAACTTGTTTCGTTGTTCAAGGTACATAAGAATAAAAAAGACTATGCTTGAACACTTTTAATTGATTAAAAAACGTCCTGTGGGATGTCCAGGTGCTACGGTTATCCTCACATCTTCCCTGAACAACATAGGTCTACTAAAGAAAGATCTTCCATCTGAAATTTGCTGCTCCAGCAGGACGATATTGACCAAAATGGGCTCTCAAGGATACTTGTTAAAGTCAAGGCGTGCTCCCCTTCTTGGCGCTTGCTCCTGTTCACACAGCCCACGGGGGTCAGAGAACATACTAGTCGTTACATGACACAGCGTGGCTGGTAAAGGACTAAAGTGTCTGCACGGAGCTACAGAAGGGCTGTGTGGAGTGTTCCATACACGACACCGTAAAATAGGCCGTGTCGTGACTTGCATCCACCGATGCGTTTCTTTTCCACTGAAGCTATTGCTTTTCTCATGGCGATAACTAGACCTTAAAACAAGTACCAGCAATGGGATTTATAATGCAGAAAATCAATTAATGCTCACCGTTCTGTCGGCCCTTCTAAGTCTCTATGGGGCTTGCACAAGAGCTGGTGTCTTGTGGTGGAGATGCAGCTTGGTGCACATAGTAGATGTACTATGAAAACACGCCTGTGTACGTGCACTCGTTCGTAACGATGGACTCGTTGTGAGATCTAGTTGTTCACTTTGGTTGTGCAATTAAAACTTCAAGTACAGTACTGCGCTGACAACCTTTTTGATTCATTAAGGGCAGAATTACTAACTTCCAGTTCCTCGTTCTCATTTGTAACGTGAGAGTTTTTTTGTTTGATTAAAAAAAACCCACAAACCAGACGCTTGAGTCGGAGGTGGTAAACGCTGTCACTCCGGCCGTGGTGCGTAGCTCTCGGGTGAGAGCTGGACGCTTTGTCTGGACAGTTGACACAGCTTTGAATTCCTCCCTCTGTGGGGCGAATTCCTCCCTCTGTGGGGCGAATTCCTCCCTCTGTGGGGCGAATTCCTCCCTCTGTGGGGCGAATTCCTCCCTCTGTGGGGCGCAGCACCCCGTGCCCTCAGCTCGAACACCCGTGCCCTGAACACCTCTTTCTGCTGGAGGCGAGAGGGGAGGCGTGCAAGGTGACAGCCTCACCCACCGCTAACGGGACCTCTCCACCCCGCTGCCACCGAGTCCTCCACGCCCCCAGATTAAGCTTCGCTTCTCCTGTCGGTGTAGATGCCCGGCGTAGGGTCTGCTCTGGGACTCACCCGTGTCCTGGTGTCCTTCACCTTCCCGCTGGTCCTGCTAGCGTCCTCTAAAGGCGCTGGTTTAGCTGGCGGTGCTGCAGAGGGGATGAGATTCCAGCCAGGACTGTGAAGATGCCCACGCTCCAGCACGGCCTCCTGTCCCCGGGCTCCGCATCGCCACCTCCCGCGGGAGCAGAAGCGCCCGGGGCGCCGCGCGCCGGCCTGGCCTGGGGACTGGCGAAGAGCCGGCCGGTAGGGGAGGGCCCAGCAGGTGCTTCTGGTAACTGCACAGTTTTCCTTGTCGCCTGTAATTACTTGTTGCTTTGGCATCCCGGACAGAATGTTGTTTCTAAAAGGAACAAACCGTAACCAGGTCCCCACTGGTGGGTTTGGGGTTTGGGGTTTTTTTTTTCATATTAACAACACATTTACATTTTTTCCCCCGATAAAGGCATGGAATGTTCTGGCCCTGGATGGCAGTAACTGGCAGCGAATTGACCTGTTTGATTTCCAGAGGGATATTGAGGTATAATTAAGTGACATACAAACCCATTTTTCTTGTTAAAATGTAATTACAGTTTAGAATGGATTAATACTCCCAGCATAACCCTTTTTACCTTCCCTGGAGATAGAAATCATTAATTTCAGTTCTTCCTAGCTTCAGGGAGTCTTTAAAGTCTTGGCAATCCATTCAGCTTTTGAAAATGGACAGAATTATATATCTGTATCAAGACTTAAAGGTAGTAATAGAAGGAAAGCGTTTGTGTGTGTGCGCTGCAAGCAGAAGTAAGCAGAAGGGGTGTGTTCTTGTGGAAGACTGCTGCTTCTGCATAGCAGACTTTGTGCTGCTACTTCTTTCACTCAAAGGTTAACGTGGCACTGACTTAGACCATTGAGACTGACTGGCGTTCGAAACATGGCCTGCGGTATGTCTGTCCTGTCCTGTCTGTCTTGAATATCAAAAATTGAAACGCAAGTGGAGGTGATTCAGGGGGACGAGGTCAAAATTATTCCTAAAAAATGCAGCTTTGGAAATGCTTCGTTGTAGCTGTTCTAAATCTGTTACATGTGGACCACACGGCACTGCTAGGAATGGATGCTGTTGTCGTGCTGTCCTTAAAATTAAAATTACCTTAATCAGGAAAAGGGACAAGGAAAAAAACAAAAAACCCTTAACTTTCTTACCAGAATGCTGTATCCCCTTTAGAACGTGTTGGAGGAGGGAGATAGGGAGTGTATCCCTTCGAGTCGTCCCAGAGAGAGGTGTAACACGGGTGATGGCTGAAGATTCACACCTTGTGGGGACTGGTGGGAAATACACACCTTAGGTGTGGAGGAAAGAGGTAAAATCCTCTTCCTGCCAGCTGGGAGAGGGCAGCAGCTGAGACCCAGGGCTAAAGGCCTGGGACACGGTGACTTCTGCGTGCTGGCCGGGGCCTGGGTGGCCTGAGACTTGTTGAAGGAAGTAAATGGTGTGATTTTTGTTCTTGGTAATAAATACTGGAGCTCTTATCATGCCTTGGAAGGTCTGGACCCATGTAATTATTTGCTTTCATAGAGGCAGAGTGAAGCTATCAGGGGTGCCTGGGCTGTGGAGGTAGCAGGAAACGCGGCCAGAGCTTCTCCCTTGCTGCTGTCCTTCGTCTGGGTAGGGGAGAGAGAGGCGGGCGTGCTGTGAATACAAACTAGGCTTTTCTCAGTCTGGAGTGGTTTTTGCACGGTTTTAATGTGTCTTTGTTCTCCAACACCGCGCTCTGCATCAAACACATGTTCTTGCATAAGCAGACGCTTCCCCTTTTGAAACAACACGTGTTGTACCTGACCTAGACGTACCTGCTCGGCTTCCTGATGTCCGGAGTGTCGTTTGCTTTAAAGGAATGCAAATCCCTCACTTGATGTAAATTCTATATATAAACGTGTTGGAATCCTCTAATTCAAGCCTGTAAATTCAGAGGCTTGCTAGGGGGATTGCAAAAGCACACAGACTGATTTTCCAGCCCTTCGACACGGATGGGCAGGTCGAGCTTCGTCCCTCCGTCAGCCTTCGGCCGGGGCAGCGCTTCAGCCGTTCCCCGCGGCCGTAGAGCTGCTCCTGTAGCCCCTGAAAGCCAGTGGCCAGAGGTCACCAGCAGCTCGTGCAGAGATGTAGGGAAGCTGCTGGCCCTTTTTTGATTGTGGTATTACGTTGTACCGAGCCTGAGGCTTAATCTTTTTCCAGTGCAAAAAAACATCATGGAAGAATATCTTCATCGTTACAGAGGTCGTAAATGCCAACTGGTACTGGAAGAACTGAGCAACGTTCGTGTTTGGTGAAGAGCAACCACGTAGGCTAAAGGAGAGGGGAAGGATCTTGAATTTCTGGACGCTGATACAAGTATTCTCTGTTGGTTTTGCACTTGGTTCACAGTGAGGAATAGCTGGGTAAACGGTAGCTTGTAGTGGGGTCTCTGGAGGCTTCCGTTGATCACAAATCTGCAATTAAAAAAGCGTTTTTCTAGATCTCTTCAGCACAAATGTTTGATTCCCTTTTTCTGTGAGAATAAAACTCGTGGGCTGGTTCTGCCTCGTCGCTGTTTTGAATAGAAATGGAGGTATCGCCGTTCATAGCACATTGGCTGCACTTGGAAATCTTGCCGCCCGTGTTGCAGCAGCGGCCTTGCTCCTCTCGCCTTCCTTGGGTAGCCTGTGTCGATGGCCGGGAGCTCGGAACTGGAGGAAATTCTCAGTCATTCGTCTGAGCGGCTTTAGGGAATTGTTCCTTGTCTCTCCATCTTCAGAAGCTGAATAATTTTCCCTCTCCCTGCCTTAGATTATCATCATCATCATGGCATTTTTGTTTTCGTAGCACTGTTTTACCTAGAATAACAAGCTGTCGTTAATCTGCAAAACTTCTGAATTCAGCTTTTTGAAGGATCGGGTGGCTTTTGGACTTTAATGTAATTCTTTCTGTCTCCGACAGGGCCGAGTAGTCGAGAATATTTCTAAAAGATGCGGGGGCTTCCTGCGGAAGCTAAGCCTGCGTGGCTGCCTCGGCGTGGGAGACAACGCGTTAAGGTAGTGGTGTGGCATCCTGCCACTCTTGAGCGCGACGTGAACAGGGATTTGGTTTCTGCAGCCCCAGAGGGTTGGAATAACTTATGCACGCTGTGGAACGGAGGTCTTTGGCCTGTGTGTCTATCTTAAAATATCACGAGCAGTAGTGTATAAGCCTTTTTAATTTACCATTTTTTTAACTTCACACAGTAGCCGTTTTCCTCAATTCTCATTAAAGTAATGCCAGCTGCTGCTACAGGCTACGTGGTAATTGGCACTGAATTACAAAGCTTTTGCCTTGAGGCTGGGAAATCCCAAGGCAAGGTCTAGGGCAACATAAATGATTTAATTTATTTATTTACTGATTTCTTTTGTTTGAGATAAAATTACGTTTCAGTGGAAACAAACGCTGCAGAACATCTGGAAGTCTATTGCCTGAGAAATACGGTGTTTTCCCTTTCCTTTCATAAAGGACGTTTGCACAGAACTGCAGAAATATTGAAGTATTGAACCTAAACGGCTGTACCAAGATCACAGATGCGTGAGTAAAATTCTTTTCTCCGTTTGCCCTGTCATCCCCTTCTCTGTATGCACAGTGTGACATTCTCCATCTCTTTTTTTTTTTTTTTTTTTTTTTAAGGGAAGGCCAAGCTCGTGCGTGCAGTAGACAATACAATGCACGTCATAGGAAATGTAGATGACTTGGAATAATCTCTTGCATGAGTGTGTCTTGTGTGCTTTCTTCCAGTACGTGTACCAGCCTCAGTAAGTTCTGCTCCAAGCTCAGGCACCTTGATTTGGCTTCCTGCACTTCCATAACCAACCTGTCTCTGAAAGCACTGAGGTAGGAGCCAACAACGCTGACTTTTGCTGGTTGATTCCAGGTGGTGTGACCTGCTGTTGCCCCGAGTGTCTCCCGTGCCTCGGAGCAGACTGACGTAGGCTGGGGTGCTTAGAACTGAGGCGTTCCCCAGCAGAGCTCACAATCACAGTTGTGCCTCCTGGTTTGCTGGGACAGAGCAGGCAGGCTCAGTGAAAGCTGCCCAGACCTCGTTTGTGGCCTTCCTCATGGTTATTAGCAGCAGCAGAAGAATGATATTGTGTGCAAGAGTTGGAGGAGGGATTTTGGGGGAGACAGACGCCTTAGTCTGCCTTTTTAAAATGTTTGGTTGCCAACAGTCACTGCTTCCGTGTCAGTGTGCTCAGCAGGTGTTTGCGTAGCTAGAGGGTGAGCACCGGCCTGTGACTGTTCGTCTCTTTAAACTGCTTGGGAGACACAACTGCTTAAATCTGCTGAATGGAATTTAATCTAGGAAAGGAAGGGACAGGCAGACATTGGTGGGAAGATATTGGGACAGAGAAAAGGAGGCAAAAAACCCACTAAAGGTAACAACAGAGGCCAATCTAGTGGAAAAAAAAAAAAAAATAATCAAGTGATATACCAGTGGAATAAAAGAAAATATGGGAAAGCTGTATCCCGGGGGAAAAAATACTGGAGAGTGAATCTAGACAGTGGAAGAAAAGACAGATTTGAAAGAAGAAATGGATGACTAAATTATTTTTGTAGCTACGATAAAATACTTGGAGCCTGGATCTTCCCTCCCTTAAGGGTCTTCATCCTTGTCTCTGGTTTCACATGGTCAAGTTTGTGCTGCAGCTGTCTGAAATACCTGATAGCGTGTGTATCTCTTCCGAATTACAGGTTGCACCTGCCTGTTGCTCCAGCTGGCAGCTGTTTGCAAATGCAAGGTGACACCTGGGCAGTTAGAAGCAGCGTGGCAGGAATCGACCCTGTTGTGGGTTTTTGTTGAGGGTGGTTTGTTGTGTTCAGGTCCAGAAAGCCCGTAGTGCCTGTCCTTGTATAGGAGCTGGGAGGTGTCCAAAAGGGTGGTCTCCTACCCTACCAATACCCTGCTTTAGAGCTCCCCATCCTGCCCCTGCAGAGCTCTTCACATCTGGAGGTGATGTTGGACAAGAGCGTTCACCGCGGGGGTGTGGGGGGCAGGCCTATGTCTGTGCCACATGGGTTCCAGACACGGGGATTTCCTAGATTTTGCCTGGAAGCAGGATTTCTTCCCCAAACAAACCCAAGTTGCCACACGCTTTTCCTTTCACCTCCGAAGCGAGGGATGCCCACTGCTGGAACAGCTGAATATCTCCTGGTGCGACCAAGTGACCAAGGATGGGATCCAGGCCCTGGTGCGGGGCTGCGGCGGGCTCAAAGCCCTGTTTCTGAAAGGCTGCACGCAGGTACGGCTCGGGGGAGGGTGCTCAAATTGAATAATAACAGCCGGCTTATTGCTGCTGTAACCGAAAGGGTGGGGATAAAGGGTTGTGGGGTTTTTTTTTTTCTATTTCCAGAGATGTTATGTTACTGAAATTACTCACAGTCTGTCTGTGGGAGATTAACTGCTTTTATTGAAATTCTTTAATAGCTTTGAGCTCAGCATGAGTAGTGGGACAGTGAACAAATTGCATATCTAGCTGTAGGATCATTCTTCTTTTCTTTTTTTTTTTTTTTTCCCCATCAGGAACACATTGAGCAAACTTGTTTTTTTTTAAAGAGCAGATAACTTTATTATTCATGGCTGGCCTCATCCGTTTCTGAAGGCGCAGAACATTTTAGGAAGCGTGGCAGTACTTTGATCTGCGCTGGCGATAGAATTTCCTCTACGTGTCGTTTGGATTCTTCTCGGTAGTCAGGGAGAATCACCGTGTGTGTGACTCCTTGACAAGCCACCTCTGCGCAGTACTGCTCCCTCAAGTGCGTCAAAATCGTTTACCTCTTGAGCTACATCAGTGTGTTCTGAAGAGGCTGCAGAGACTGTGATGCTTGTACTTGGGAATATATAAACGTGCACTCGCTCTTACAGCTGAAAGGGGTTTTTTTTTTCCCCCCCTTGTTAAACATTTTGTTATTCAGACTGACTTGCTTCCATATTTCTTTACTGTCTTACCTGGTGAATCATTGAAAAGTTAAATACTTCCCTGTATCACAGCTTCACTGAGGAGTTATCTCAATTACGAACTGGGGCGTGGGGAGCATCAACCTTGAGCGTTGCTCTTTTAACAAGCGACAGCTCCGTGCGGAGCCGCTTCACAAAGAATGTGGGGACTAAGCCTCATTTTTTTTTTTTTTTCACTTAAGTGGCCTGGGGTCTTTTCAGTGCAGATAGATAGGCTAGAAAGGAGCAAACGTGCGTCTCAGAATCGAGTAAAACTGACCCCGCAGGAGCTGAAACCTGTGACCCAGAGACTCCCAAGAGTTTCAGAGCCTGAAGGCAGACCTGGAAAGTGATCTCTGGTCCGTGAGGTCCTTGTACCCGAACGCTGACGGCGCTTATTTGTTTTGGATTTTTTTTTTGGGAGGGTGTAGGGACTCCTTAAGTATGAGTCAGTCAGTGCCATTTTTGTCTGCTGTGTACAGGTAAACAGCTGTATGTTTTTGTTCCGCAAGAAAGCACGTTTCTGCCGTGCATGGACACAAAGTCCTGAAAGGTTCTTGCGTTAAGCGAAGCGGTGATACGCTGGTTACGTGCACAAAGCCGTAATACCCTTGTGTGCGCAAGAAAGCCCAGCTGCAAGGGCTGTAGTCAGTAGTTTTTCTAAATTTATACTTCCGTTGGATTTTTGGTACGTGAGACGAGTATACATGGCTGTAAAAATGACTCGATTAAAGATACAACCATCTCAGCCTATTTTGAGAATTCAGGTCATAGAAACAGCTTGAGTTTCTAGTAATTTGTGGAGTCGTGAGTAATATTGATGGCAATACATCCTTGTTATCAATTACTTGCCATCTGCTCTTGGAGATTTCAGAATAGCAGGCTTTTTTATCATCAGAAAGCAACCTGAATATGTGTTCGCTCCTCACGCTGAAATCAGACTTTTCTGAGTTCCCGTATTGCGCTACAAAACCAGGGCTGCTGACAGGCCCTCGCTCGTGGAGCATTTCCCTAATTCCTCTAAATACTTTCTGATTTCGCTGCTTGCTTTGTTGGTTATGCATGTTTGATCAGATCAGCGTTTCTTTGAATCAGTAACTCGGTGGTGTGGGTCTTTGAACTCTCTTCCCAAGGTGGTCAAAAAGTAAAAGGCGCGCGGTTACTGCTGCGTATTTTGAGACCGCGGTGCGTTGCCCTCCTCCCCCGTAGGTACCCAAACCCGCAGATGCTCCGTTGTTCTCAAAGCTTCGTTTTGAAGATTGCTTCAGGTATTAACAGGTTGCTTCAGTCTCTCAATTTTTCTTTCCAGCTTGAGGACGAAGCTCTGAAATACATTGGTGCCCATTGTCCCGAACTGGTGACTTTAAACCTCCAAACATGCTTAGTAAGTAAAGCTTCCTGTGATTTCCCAGCTCAGCCATCGGTGTGTGTTTAGAGGCCATCTCTAAGCAGAACCACGCAGAATGTGCTCCATCCCAGGAACGTCGTCATCTGTGCAGACAGGGCAATTGTAAAATTACGGGACTTTTAAAAATAGTTGATGAAAAGCAGCTTTTTAGTAGCGTTCCGTAACGTCGAATAAGCCCCCAAAACAGTGTCATAGCACTCGCTTGGGCAGAATTGTTTGTCTCTCTGCCCTGCCCACGGGGCTTCTAAGCTCGTTTGTAGGACTAGCTGGAAAAATTCTTTCCATCGGGCTGGCGTGTTTGTGTGGTGATGCAGCCGGGCGGTTCCTCTGGTCTCTTTATGAAATTGAACCAAGCAGCGCAGTTCCGCTGCACAGAAGGGCTCTGAACCAATTATTCTGCAGTGCCAAAAACGTATATTTATGCCAAAAAAAAAAAAAGAAATTGGAACGGGCTCTTTGTACATACCGTGTGCGGTTGGTTTGACGCAGGGAGTGACTGGACAGTCTCTCCCTTTTCCGCGGAAGTGGGCAAGGCCTTTGGGGGCCGCAGGGCTGGCCTCTCCCAGTCCTGTGGAAGGAGTAGCTTTACCAGTTACTAGACTGGGTAGAGACTGGTGCCCGCCCCGCTGGGACTGGGTGCTCGCAAAGGAGGAGCTGAACTGTTACCAACTTCCAGACCCGCGTCTGGGGCGCAGGGGAGAGGTCGGAAGGGCAGAGGCAAACAGGCGGAAGGGAGAAGAAGACTTGAGAAGGTTCTTGGTCGCCTTAACCGAAAACGCCAAGTTCTGCTCCGTTTCTGTTTCATCACTCTCCAAAACTTGGGCTTCCCAGCCCACAGACTTGCTCTTTGCTCTTTTGGAAGAGGCAATGCCAGTCCCTGGGTTGGTGCTTTTCTGTGGGAACTGAGCCTGGCTGCCCCTGAAAATCCAGAACCCAAGAATTACGTGAGGCTGAACCTGGTCCTCCAGCACGCGTAGCCTCTGCCACCTACTGTCCCTTCTTCCCTTCTCCCGCTGCCTGCGTTGCTCTCGATCCCGTGCAGCTCCTTGGCTGAGCACCCCCCCCGCCCCGAGTCCCAGCCCCTTGTGCTCTCGCTTCTGCAGGGAGACGCTTGGAGCAGCTTCGTGCGCTGTTGCCACCCCAGAGCAGAGCCCCTGGGGCTGGACAGACCCCGGGTGTCCGGGGACGCGGCGGGGCGATGGAGCTGCTGTGCCACGGGCTGAACGTCACATCATTTCGGCTGTGAGCCCGTCCCTCAGGGCTCAGGTTTTGGTCCCAAACCACTGAAGTGTATTTTTAAACAGCTGTGAAAACAACCTGCTGCCTATTTTGTGGGTAACTCTGACTGCTAGGTGCTTTCTTGTCTTGAGTTTCAGCCAAGAAGGTCTTTACGAGCAAGGGTTGCAAAGGAAGGCAGGAGCCCAAGTCTAGGCCTGCTGCTACCGTGCCTTCCCCCATGGCTCGCGTGGCCCAGCTCAGAAACGTTTCCCTGCATGTGGAATCACTTTCCGAGTGTTTACAAGTCACTTCAATGTGGCTTATCCTGTTTCAGCTGCTCCAGTGAAATAGGCGAAGGCGTTTTTGGGTTGAAAGGAGCCTAACTTGGCCTCAGTTGAGTGCCTGGTTGGAAGCCTGAGAAGGAAAATATGCAGTGCCTTGCACCTCCACCTACGTTGTTATGGCTTGTGATGTTGTTATTGTTTTTCTTGTAGCAAATAACAGATGATGGTCTCATTACAATATGCAGAGGATGCCACAAGTTACAATCCTTGTGTGCTTCAGGCTGCTGTAACATCACAGATGCCATCTTGAACGCCCTGGGACAGAACTGCCCGAGGCTTAGGTAAGTTCTCCCGGCAGTTCCCCGAGCTCCAGTGACCCGTTGTGCGTGGAGCAAAGGCTCTTGGTGACCCGGTCGTGTGGTGGTTGAGCCATTTTGGACTCGGAAGGCCTTTCTGGCAGGGCAGCTTTCGTCTCTGAGCTTTTCCCAGGCGTTTGCCGTGGGCTGAGCATGGTTGTACCCAAACTTCTGCTCTCTGACCTTGTGCAAGTCGCTCAGCGGTAGGAGGGCTCCGTGCCGTGGGGGTGCGTGCTGCCAAGAGGCTCGCTTAGTAGCAGTCTCCTTTTGCACCCTTGGGTGTCTGCTTCTGTGCTGTCGTGAAAACCAGTTGAGGTTGGGTGACTTTCGTACTGGGAACCGAAAACGCGGTTAAACAACGTGGTTTCCTCTTGACACGTGACATTAACAGGTTTTTCATGATGATTTTGTAGCAGGTGGGATTTGTGCAAACTTTCACTCTGCGTGACAGAGTGGGCTGCCAGGGACGTCTCTGCAGGTGCTTGCTTTTTTTTTTCGTTGTTTTTGTTGTTGTTAGGACAAGTTTCTTCAGGAAGACTTTGCTATAATTCAGGAAATGGCCAGGTGCAGAAGGAAGAGACAGTTTTATTCTCTGACATCTGTAACAGCTGAGTGGCCTGTATTAAATGGCACCAAATACCTGTCTTCCAGGGGAAAACAGAACACAGCTGTTTCTGTCATAATTCATTTAAAGAATTACGGGTACAGAGCGCAGCATACGTGTGCGTGGAAGCCAGTTGTGAAAGAGGAAGGTAAAATGCAAATTTGGTTCCAGGTGGTTTCTGTGTGGAAGTTCAGCTGCAGCTTTGCAGCGTTAAGCTCCATACATCAAAACACGTAATGCACTTTAAGAAAGTTGGATTCCTCCTCTGTAAAGGCAGGTAAATCTGTTAAAAATGTGGAGGAAACCTCTATGGAGCTGCGGTAACTGCCAGAAAGTTTGTCTGTTCTCCCAGACGCAAGCAGCTCGCCTCTTGGGAGGCTTCAGGCTCCTCTGTCGTGGCGTTAAACGCTTGCTCTCTGAGGCTCACCTGCCAGGTTGTCGTGTATTGCACCCTTTGTCACGGCGAGATCGGTACGGGAGGTGGAAACCAGAGGAAAGCGCTCTGGGAGCGTGTGGAGAGTCCAGCACTGAAGGTTTTTAAGAGCACCTTAGTCCAACGTGGGTCGGATTAGCCCTCCCTGACTCGTAGCAGGGGACAGACTGGATGATCCTTGGAGTTCCCTTTTAGCCTGACTTGTTTTTTTTTCTTTCCCTGTGACCTACACTCAGGTATAGAGGGTGGATGCTCTGTGCAAATTATCCTCTCAGAGAGCACAGCCTAAACCGGGTCAAACTTTTCTGGGTTGCTGGAAGCTTTTAATGAAACACTCTGAAAAGCAAAATGACTCCACCATGGTTATTATAAATTCTTTCTGTGCAGAATATTAGAAGTTGCAAGGTGTTCTCAACTAACAGATGTGGGCTTTACCACTCTAGCTAGGGTAAGTGCTCCTTTCCACTTTTTCATGAAGTAGCTTTGCTTTCTTTCCATGGGAACAACCAGTGGCTTTCTCCTGAACGTAGGTTTTTGTAATGCTTTTGATCCCGACGTCTGAGTGGAAGCCAAGTTACAGAAATTAGGCTGTGTGAGATCTTTGGAGTTATCCTGACCCGCACACCTAGGAGGATGTGCGTCCAAACTGTGTGAAAAGTTAAATGCTTGGGAGTTACAGACTTTACTGTTTGGGTTTTTTTTTTTTCTTAATTAATCTACGTTGTGTACGAGTGACCCTAAATTTAACTGCCTTTACTTTCTACGAATAAAGAACCCCCCTGTGCCTTTAAATGAGCGAAATCACTAGGCTTCCTTTGCTGTACTTGGTGCTGTTCATAAAGAAGCAGCAAGCTTTCCTTCCAGTCATGGTGTTTTCGTGGAGAAAACCCTTCATTTTTAGAAAGAACTGTCTTAATGTAGTTGTGTTTACGTGTGCCGTGTGAACTTTGCACTTAGTTTGTGTGTTCGGTCTTCTCCTTGTTCCTAGAACTGCCATGAGCTTGAAAAAATGGACCTGGAAGAGTGCGTCCAGGTAGGAGGTGCTTCTGGCTGCTTCTCTTTCAGCACGGTCACAGCGGTGTGGAAAGAGGGTGAAAAAGTGATAGATTGCGTCCAAGCGAGAACTGGATTTAAAATCCTGAGCGAGACGATTGGACCTATTTGGATAAGAAAATAACCACTTCTGTAGTTTGATCCTTTGTCCCTATTTTGCAGCAACGAGCGCTGCCAGTGATAAAAAAGTCCTTAAAGTGGCAGGTGTGTCCCGAAGGTCCCGTAGTAGGTGTGTGACTGGTGACCCTCGCCACAAGCTGCGTAAGGCCAGGGGAGGCTCGTGCTACGCGTGCTGCTGCAAACCTCCGTGTTTGGAAAAAACACAGCCAGGCTGTTGGAGCAGCCGTGGCTCTAGAGAGGACGTGGCAACACCTTGAAATAAAACCGGGGTGCCCGTAGCCTTCCTCGGAGGCAGTGGGGTGCGGCGGAGCGAGGGTGACTGGCGAGTCTCTCCTGACCCTGTGCTGCAGCGGCCGGCGTGAGTTTTGAGGAGCGTGCGGCTCCACGCTGCTCTCTAGGCCACGTGCCCGTAGCCGGTGCCCGTTTCAAGGTGACATTCCAGGGGAAAAAAGTTTACTCAAGATTCCATGAAAAATCTCTAACGCTGAGGATAGATTTGAAACCGATTCGGATAAAGACAGTGGAGATAATGGGATTTAGCTTCCTGCCATGAGAACAGCGTGACCCCGGTGTTCTGGACTTCCTGATGTTTACAGGGCAGAAATTCAGGCGACCACAGGAGGAAATGACAATAGTCCAGACAGGAAGTGATTTAAAATTACCCCGAAAAAGGAAGAAGAAAAATTGGGCCGTGCCCTTGCATGGTCTGCGTTGAACAAAGGCACCCCAGCAAGTTCCCTTCTGAATGCTTTTAGGTTAGAAAGCCCTTGTGTTGAGCCTCTCTCTTCCTGCGGCAGAAAGAGGAACAATTCAGCCGTCCACCGAGCTGTTGGAAGGGGGTTTGAACACCTCTTGTACTCCGAGACAAACATTTAGGACCGTTGTGTTGTCAAAGAGTCCTGCTCGCTTGCTGCTTGTAACTGTGAGCTTATTTCACCAGAGCTGCTTAAGGAAGTTAAAAAAAAAACAAAACCCAAAACCCAAACAGCAGTGCTGCTGCCTGCACAGTCCTTTAAGGGCAGGGCTTGGTTTTCTGCAAGGGAGTGGAAGAAAGTGAACGTCTGAAACGTGGTCTCACGCAGGAGACGAGCCCCTGAGGGGCTCAGGAGAGGGAGCGCGGGGAGCGCTGCCGCGGATGAGGCAGAAGTTGGCGGGTTTTTCTTCCGTAGGGCGAAAAGAGCCCTTGTGCAGAGCACCCAGCGTGAGAGGGCTTTGTCTTCTTTTGCAGATAACGGACAGCACGCTAATCCAGCTTTCCATACACTGTCCGCGGCTTCAGGTTCTGGTGAGTATTAGAAGTGAGGCTTTTTCAGCCGTTCCTTTGTATAAACAAAGGGATTTTGAGCGCTGCCTGTGGGGATTTGTCTCTCTGACTTCATAGACGTGTTGCGAAGGCTGGGAAGAATTCGGCTAGAAGCCTGACCCTGAGGAACCTATTGTCCCTCCCCTACTGCTAACGTTAGTCGTGCGCCAGGCACCCAGAGCCGCCTGAAAAGGCGTTGGAGGACGCTGGATTCTCCTGGTACCAGCCTCGGGCTGTCCTCGGCTCGCCCAGCAGGATGGGGGCTGCCGGGGCGGTCTGCAGGAGAGCAGGCTGCAGCCCCCCTCGCCTGTCGGGCGGAGCCGGGCAGCTGAGGCCTGGAAAGCTTGCTGGCTCTGGAAAGCCATGTTGCTTTTGGGTCTAAATTTCTGGGGATTTAGTCTCGGTCTCCTCTGCCTCCCCTGTGTGTGGGGAAACCTGCCCTGGGAGGTGGGGGGGCTGCAGGCAGGGGGTTCTGTGCACGCTGTTGCCCTCAGCAAAGCCACAGGCTGATCTAGCTCAAGCCCCGCTTCCTCCTCGAGAACTTTTAAGATGCAGCACCCCCCCACCACCACCACCCCGGCCCCCCAAAACGCACCGAATGGGTGACGTTGTATTTCTGCCGGTTCTTAGCCCCAGCGACAGGGTCCTGCCCATCGCCTCCTCCCTCGTCCCACAGCGTCCCCCGGCGGGGCGCTGGCTTCTGCTTGCCCAGGCCGCTAACTTGGTGTGTTTGGCCGCAGAGTTTGTCCCACTGTGAGCTGATCACGGACGACGGGATTCGTCACCTGGGGAACGGCGCCTGCGCGCACGACCGCCTGGAGGTGATCGAGCTGGACAACTGCCCTCTGATCACCGACG